AGCTCTATCGTATGTGCATGTGTGATCCTACAGGAGGAACAGGCCGAACTTTGCTCTTTGAGGGTGAGCCTGACCACCTTGTTCCTGCAGCATCAGGTAATTATTGAGAGCAACCTCTTTTAAGTTGCAAGGACAATGTTAGACCACACCTTTCTGCATCATGGCCCCCGTGTCACAGGATTAAGTCCAGCTGTAATTCACACACTATTCAATGGGGACCCTGAAATGGCAACAATTGTTCCAGAAGACTGTTCTGATTAACACATCAGGAGCATCATAAAAATGGTATATAACATTCATTTTGCAAAGCAATTTAGTATTGTTTGGGCAAGTGTAATAACTTGCGTAATCCTGATTCTAGCTTGAAGTTAAAGAACTTATTCAGGAACAGCAGGACACTCTCAGATCTTTGCATATCTTGAGATCTCCCAGCAGTCACCAAAACAAATAAGAGATGGCTACATAACAAACTTCTAGTCCATGCGGTAAGTTTGATTATAACATTCTTGTAATAGTTGCAGTTGCTGAATGGACAGCATTGTGTACCATGCCCTGCTTTATCAACCCTATTGTGTATGGAAGTGGTCATATTTTAAAAGCATGAAATTCATGCTGTTAATGCTTGTTTCTGAAAAGCTAACATTTGCACATAATCATCTGAATATCTACAAAAACAAGTATTTTCAGTGTGAATTTCAGATCTTTACTAAATTTTGACAGCATAATCATATTTTATGATTTAATTACACAAATCTGGCAAAGTACTGAAAATGCACTAAAAACTAAATACAATTCGCAACAAATTCTGTTCACCCTCCAGTATAGTGACTTTATACACTCACCTAAAGGATTATTAGGAACACCATACTAATATGGTGTTTGACCCCCTTTCTCCTTCAGAACTGCCTTAATTCTACGTGGCATTGATTCAACAAGGTGCTGAAAGCATTCTTTAGAAATGTTGGCCCATATTGANCTTCAAAACATTTTATGATTTGTGCCAAATCATGTTAATAGCTAATATAATATAGGTCCTTTCAGCTGTAATGATATATGGTGGTTTAGTATTTTGGGCTCATGGCGACTGTTGCACACCCCATTGTTTCCCAGATTGCTTTACATACGAATTTAAATTAATTTTTGAATGTTCAAATGTATCCGTATACTGTGCAGTCGACAATACATGAATGAGCTAATAACTTTAAAACTAGACAAGAAGGGCACATCTAATAAAGTGTGCTTTAATCAGTGGACAACAGGGAAAAATGAACACCCCTTGGGTTTTCAGAATAACTTTCTCTGTAACAGTTATTAATTAATACATTGCATGCATATTATATGCCATTGCTCCATTTCATATATATTAACAGAGAGAGCCCCTCACGATTCGCGCGCCAATGTCGTACGGATTATCCAAGTACGCCGGCATTGTAGTGGGAGGGGTGGTGCTCATATAGGGCTGGCTTACGCAGAAACCTCGACTTAACCAAGAACAAAAACTGCTTGGAGCAGTTTTGAGACTTAGCGTAAATTGCCATAGCAACATGTCTCGACTAAAACCTACCCACCTTTCGTAGTATGGGTTAATAGCGAAGTTACACCACACGTCAAGTTACTAGCAAAGTTACCCCGATAAGCCAGTTACCCCGCTTCGTAGTACAGGCCCCAGGTCTGTGATTGATGTTTTGATGTTACATGTTCCTGTGTCCTACATTTGGAGTGATTCCAAATAAACCCTTCAATCCTGATTCCTCGTCTCTGTCAGAATCGTGGGGAAGGACGAGGCAGGAAGGAGATAATCCTCTGACACATGGGTTTATTGAAGGAAACACTGGGCTGACGGCAACGAACGAACATCAATGACGGACACCAAACTAAGGAAGACGTGGACTAATATACATGAAACAAGCCGAAATAACAGGTAACAGGTGAGCACAATCGGGGATTAACACGAGGTAACAAGGTGGGCGTGGCACACACAAGGATCAGACGGAGCTGGGCTTGACAGAACCCCCCCACAAAGGCGCGCCTCAGGGGAGGCGACGGACGAGACAAGACCGGGGAAACAGGACCTGGAAAACAAGAGCAAAACATCAACGAGGGACCGGGAACAGAACAGAAACACAAAACAAGCAAAGGGGAAAAAACCAAGACAAAACCTGACAAAGGACGGGGAACGCCGACAGACAGACCAGGAAGGGAGACACCGGGGGAACACCGACAGGCGGAACAAAAGGGCCAGGAGTGAACGAAGGAACCAGAGGAGGACGAGGAGCAGAGACAGGAGGGACAAAGGGACGAGGAGGGAATGGAGGAGGAGCAGAGACAGGAGGCAGAAAGGGAAAGGGAGGAGGAACCAGGGGAGCCCAAGGGAACCCCAGGGGGCGAAAGGCGGCAGCAGGAGGAGCCACGGGCGACCGAGCGGCCGAAGCTGGAGGGCCCCCGGGCGACCGCGAGGCAGGAGTCGGAGGGAACAACGACAGGGGGAGAGGAGGAAGCCGGAGGGACCAACGGAGGGGCAGAGAAGGAAGCTGGAGGGGGCACCAGCGAAGGCAAGGAGGGAGCTGAAGGGGAACACGGCGAAGGCAAGGAGGGAGGGGAAGCCGCAGCAGGCGAGGGCGCAGCTAAAGCAGGTGGAGGCGCCATCCACCGACGAGCCAGAGTGGGGAGACCCGCAGGCGAGCGACGAGTCGGAGCGGAGGAACCCGCAGGCGGCCACCGAGGCATCGGAGATGGGACCACAGGTGGCCGATGAGGCGACGACGGGGGACCCGCAGGCGACTGTCGAGCAGGAGCCCGGTGGACTGCAGGCGAGCCGGGGGTCAGGGCGGGCGGGACCCGACCCCTGCACCTATGTCCTCTCCCTTTCTGGGACACCGACAGTCGGGGTTCCGGTCGGGCTTATTCCAGTCAGGGCCTCCAGTGAGGCAGCAGGTGTGGCCGCAGGCGGTGCAGCCAGGGCCGCGGGCGCGGGTGGTGCAGCCAGAGCCGCAGTCAGGACGGGCGAGCCGGGCTGGACGGGCAGGACAGGAGAGCCGGGCTGGACAGGCGCTGCCGCAGGAAGAGCGGTGGCCTCAGGAGGTGCCGCGGACATGCGGCCAGCAGGGGGCGCCTCGGCGGGCGGCCAGCAGGGGGTGCCGCCGACACGTGGCCAGCAGGGGGCGCCTCAGCAGGCACCTCGGTCGTGCGGCCAGCAGGGGGCGCCTCAGCAGGCACCTCGGGCGTGTGGCCAGCAGGGGGCGCCTCAGCTGGCGCCGCCAACATGTGGCCA